GAGAGAGAGAGAGAGAGAGAGAGAGAGAGAGAGAGAGAGAGAGAGAGAGGAACTCCTTTAAGCTAATCCAAAAGTCAATAAAAGAAAAATTCTTAGAAGGGATTCAGAAAAAAAAAACTTCTGTTGCAAGACAGGCAAGGTTTTAATTAATATAAAAAATATAATTCTAGACATCACATTTTCATCACAAATGTAACAATGCATAAATGTTGTCAATGTCATATAATACACATATGCTGTATCACATTCTCTCCTTTTCAATTTCCAATCTAGAGGAACCTCAGTGATTTCAATAGGTGAGAAAGCAGTACAGTAGAAAAGGTTTATCGGGGAAAAAAAAAGTTTAGTGAACAGCTCCAAGAAAGCTCAGTCAGAGAGAATGTCTGCACAGCATAATGTGTTGTGTGCCTCACTGAATTGGCCTCTATTTTCAACAGCAAAACATTATTGGAGTAAATATCTCCAACAAAAACAATTATCCAAAGGATTGTGATTGAAGACTTACCCTTTGTACCGGATTACAACTGCAGTTCAACATATATTTTCAGACTTCAGTTTATATACATTTTCCACATCTTTAATAAGTTATAATCAACATCCACTGTCTACATAATATTTTTTTCAAAGCATTGCTGTAAATGATAGTATGTTTTTATTTTCATTTCTCTCCATTTTTTTTTAACTTCTCTTCTGTTCTATCAGTTCTCTGGTGTTTATCATAATGGAAGGTAGCAGTAAAGGTGGATAGTATGTAGAAACATTTTACCCTGCTGTATTTAGAGTCTGAAAATAAAATAGAACCTAAGAATGGCCATGCTGGATCAGACCAATAGTCCATCTAGACCAGTATCCTGTCTTCCAACAGTGGCTAATGCCAGGCGCTTGAGAGGGAATGAACAGAATGGGCAATCATCAAGTGGTTTATCCCCTGTTGTCCCCTCTCAGCTTCTGACGAACACAGGCGCACTCAGATCATGGTGTTGAACATTCTGGCTAATAGCCATTGATGGACATATCTTCCATGAACTTCTCTAGTTCTTTTTTAAACCCTATTATAGTTTTGACCTTCACAATAAAGTGGATGGGAAATCAGAAAAAAACAATGAGGACTCTCAGATTTTTCTCTATAAGAATAAAACAATCAAAAAGTGCTGAACACCTTAATTGAGTGATCTGGGATTTGGGAAGTCCTGTGTTCTAGTTCTGTTTCTGCCTTCAATGTCTTTGGACAAATGATTTAACAGCTTTGCTTCCATTTCCCGATCTGGAAAATGGGGGTGATTATACCTCAATTAGTTGTTGGAAGCCCATGCTGTCACATGGGTGTAATCCATAAAATCACATATGTAAAAAAGCCCCAAATCGCTAAGTAATGGCAACAGACAATGAATCCCAGTGAGGATTGAACCTGATGATATTCTGAACAAGCTTTGAGCCATGCTTGCAGCTGTTTCCATCACTTCATACTGACTCTTTAGCCATTCCAGGCTTCAGGTGATGTTTGGGGTGCCTGTGTATGCTGGTTGTGGTGTTGGGGGGAGTGTTGCATTGTGCTGAGAGAGTTATGTGGGTAGCCAATGAAGGGTGCAGTCACAAGGGGCTATATGTACTTGGGGTTATTATGGGCTATATGTATTTGGGGTTATGTGTTGGTTATATTGATTTGTGTGGGTTATGCTGGGAGATTTGTGTTGATTTGGGCACAGGTAATCTTCCCTCTGTGCAGTCTCCCTCATGCAGTCAATACAATTGTTGCAGGCAAATTAGCTGTAGAGTCAGGGTGGTGATTGGTTAAGTTACATCTGATATCACGATAGTCTAGGACTCTTGGTGTGGCATAAATAAATGCCAGTTGGTATGTTTTACATATATGTAATACGTGTATTACGTGGGTAATAAAATAAAAATGGCTGAAAATTTAAAAATTGGATGGTAACAGACTGCAAAACCCAGTGATTATTCAACCTGAATCTATTCTGAACAAAAAGTGTCCTCAATCATGCTTGTAGCTCTTTCCATTGCTTCACATTGACTCTACAGACATAATGGGCTTCAGAGCAGGGCTGCCCAGAGGGGGGAGCAAGTGGGGCAATTTGTCCCAGGCCCCGGGCACCGCAGGGGCCCCTATGAGAATACAGTATTCTATAGTATTGTAACTTTTTTTTTATAGAAGGGGCCCCCGAAATTGCTTTGCTCCAGACCCCCTGAATCCTCTGGGCAGCCCTGCTTCAGAGTGACAATCTTGGGATCTTATTTTATAGATGTCAGGATTAATTGAAAAATGCTTGTAAAGCCCTTTGAACATCCATGAACTCTGAACTCTGTATTCTTATTTACTACTGAATTTTAGCAAGCCTGATGGAGGGAAATGTGGTCTAGGGATTAGGCCACTGGACTAGAAGCAAAGTGACCCGTCTCTGTCACTGCCTCTCTGCATAATCTTGGGTCAATCACTTCAACTTTCTGTGCCTCCATTTTCCCACCTTATAAAATAGGGATTATGATAGGGGTGGTTGCTAATGAGGCTAAAATCTACAAATTAAATCCCCTCTTAAAAAAACAAAATAAAAAAACTTTCTGCTAAATATCTCTTCTCCCAGTGCAGCCTGGGTTGGGAGGTGGGGGGAATGAATAGGATGAGGAGTGGGGTGCATGGGGGCAGAGCATGAGGGGGGGACAGGCTGGGTGATTGCAATCCAGAGTGGGAGGAGCTGGCAATATTTAGCGCTTTGAGTGCAGATGCAGCACCATAGCGAGTAGTCCAAGAAGGAAGGTCTGGTGACTTGCCTTCCTCTTCTGAAAGAATGGAGCAGGTCTGAGATCAGAGCAAACTCACAAGCTCCTTTCTCAGGCCTCTTCAGGTGTTAAAAAAAGATTTGCTTCAGAGTGTGTGAGCAGCCTCAGGGCAGAGTCCCCCTCATCCGGGAAGCTGGTCTGTGACTCTGTATAGGAGACAGCGAGGCAAAGAAGTTTATCAGCACGATCCTTTAGATTTGAAGAGCAGAAGCAGCAAATGGGCCTGTTAGAAGAAGAGGACTCTGCAGTTTGGCAGGGGAAAATATCTGGGTGGCTGGCAGCCTCGTTTGCGGGGAAGGCTCAGAAAGGATTTGCTGCCAGGCTGAGGAGGGGGCAAAGGCTCTGCACAGATCTGCTGCCTTGGGAAGGAGTCTTTTGGCTGCTAGAGGAGATTGTGGCAGCTTTGCTACCCTGTTGCCCAGACCCAAACCCAGTACTTAGGTTATGTACCAGCCACCATTGATGATACTTAACTGCCTCTGTTAAAGGCTTTGTGTTCTACAGATTAAAAGTGCTAAATAAGAGACAGGGATCCTTATTGTTAAATGGAGAGTGAAGTGATGTGGCAGGGTACCTCCTTTTGACTTACCCTTTTGACAGGTGTCGGAACCCTGTTAACTGCTGAGTTATTGTGACTGGTGGGGCTTGTTGATGGTCCCTGGGTGTGAGCAAGTTGTGAGTGATTCTTTAAGCAGAGGGAACTAGAGTCTAGGACAAAGAGATTGCTCCAGGGCAACCCTATGAACAAGCAAGAAAGGGAGAAAATTTAGGCTGAGGTTTACAGTGTGGTTGGTATTTGATTTACCAGCAAAGCTAATCCACCTGCACCCTGGAATGTCTAGACCATTATACACTTAGCTTGGCAGCTCTGGAAATTTCTCATCTACACTTTTGTTTTTACTGATGGGACATGTCCTATTTTCTGAACAAAAATTTACCCACAACCTAACAGTACAAACAATGACATAAAGGGAGAGAAAACACACAGCCAATAGTCAAGAATCAGAGTGGTAGCCGTGTTACTCTGTATTAGCAAAAAGAATGAGGAGTACTTGTGGCACCTTAGAGACTAACACATTTATTTGGGCATAAACATAAGTATGCTAATAGTCAAGAAGTATCCCTTCACTTTGATTCACATGAAAAATAAGCTCAGTCATTGTTAGTGTTGATCTCATTTTGAGTTGTGTTAGCAGTTATGTCTTCCTGGCCTTGAATTTCACTTCAGCTCCATTCAGATTCTTGTGTTATCATGACATCAGATATCCTGGGTTGAGGTTTGAGGCAAGGTATTGCTTTATTCAAGTCTCAATATTGTGAATGGGATGAATCCCATAGGCTTTAATGGGAGATGGATGACTCCCGTAAGCTCTGATTTCTTTATGACAGCACACACCTAATTTCCTGGTTTAAAGACTACTAGTTTTTTCTATAGGTGTTTTAACAGACTTGTAAAAATTTCTAACCTAGCTTGGTTTAATCTCTGTAACCATATCGAAGAGACCATAAAACGATCAGCCTGCCAATGGATTGTGGTGCTTCTTTTTTACAGTTTGTTCTGGCCTTGGATTTCTTAGGCTGTGGATTTCCCATATCTCTGGGCATTTAGATACTGACTTTATATAAGTTACCTGTAAGTAAACACTGCAGGAGTCTGGAGTCCCATGGAAATAGGTCAGCTGGCTTTATCTTTCCCAGTTGGATATGAAGGACAAACTTTGTTCTGCCGAACCCCGTTCATCTCCATTAGTTTCAAAGGGACTCTGCGAGGGTAAGAGTCAGGACAGACTTTGATGCAGCAAGCAATATTTCATGCAGTTGTGGTGCAAACAAGTGGACTAATGAAAGTTAAGTTAAAATACATGGACTGACTTAGTGGTGCTTTTCCCATTATCATTATTGATTTTTTAAAGAACATTACTACATGTAAGGCATAATTTATTAATAAGGCAAATAAACCACATAAGATGCAAAAGTCAGTCAAGAGAAAACAATTAGTGCTTGTGGTTCCTTTTAAATTTTGCTCATTCCAAATGGCAACATTTTTACAGGACTGAAATGGGACTAAAAAAATGCATTTTGGGGGTGGAGGTGAGATGGTATGTGTCGGAAGGGGAGCTAGAGCTATTTTTAATGGCACTGCAACATGTCAACCAACTGACATTTAGGGATATAAGAATTTACAGATGTGAACTAGGAAAAGATCTTGGCCTTGTTTTCTGAGAGCGCAGTTTGCTGATGTTTGCCTTCTACAGTGGAGAAGAGTGGGTAAAATGAAGAATATTTAATTGTCTGGACCATTTTTTTCAGTAAAGGCTCTAGTGATATGGAGGAAACAAGCATGGAACCATATAATTCGCTTCTGCTTGTATTATTCTTACACCTGGCTGAAGTGGCCTTTTTCACAAAGGCTGTCATGATTAGTTTATATGCAACTTAATCAACCCTTATTCAACTCTAACTTGTTGTTAGGGATTTAAAAAAAAAATGTTTCCCTTCACGAGGCTTGATGTTGGTGTAGGTGTCTTCTCTCTAGCAGAGGGAAAGGGACCAGATTGGGGAGAGTTGATAGTGGATGCAATTTTTCCTTCTCTTTCCTTATTGATGGGACTAGAACACTGATAATTAAGTTTCTGAGTTGGCTGGAAGAAAATACTAATTCTGGAATGCACTTGGATACCAGAGTGATAGGAGTGATATAAAAACTAAATAAAATAGAATAGATCATGACAAACTGGATTAACAGTGAATGACTTTCACAAATAATGACACAGGCTATTCACAAGCAGAAAAAGTAATGAGTCTACAAATATGATATTTGTTATGACTCACTTAACCAGCTCTAGCTTTTAGGATATTCTTATCTATTTTTAGCAGCTTCTAGTTAGGGTTCTAATGATAAAAGATGAAGCAAGGCAATGCCCAATCCCAGATTTCATGGAGGCACCTGGATTTATCATCAGAATAGGGTGTGTGTGTGTGTGTGGGGGGGGGAATCAGGCAAATTCACACAAGACATCAAAACATTGGATATTTTAAAAAATAGTTTCACTATCAGTGCAAACACTTTTCTAGTTACAAAAGGTGCATGTTTCTCTGGTGCTTTGTGTATAATCATATAAGGTGATCAATTGGAATGACAAATACAAAATTACACAAACTATAATGCAACAGAATCTGTTAGATGTGAAATAAGGCAGTAATGATGGATTTTGCTCATTATCCTTTTCATGCACAACATTATTCCCTTTATGTACTTAATAGCCATTGGTATCAATAGTGCAAATTCCCCATGCATCAATGGGAGAATAGTTACGTCTTTTTTACAGTTTTCAATTAATTCAGTGCTCATGAAAGGGCTTAAACAGCCCTGCAGGCTGAAGTCCTCTGTTTATCCACATAGGTACAAAAAAGGAAGAAGCAGTGTTGTGCTAAAACCCTGACCTGAAGAGATGAATGCTTAAGGATAAGAGGATAATTGTAATGATTTTTGTGATGGGCTAATCATTCCATGCAGGACACTCAATAGTCTGCAGATAGTCTCTGTCAACCTGACTTGATCTGATCTAGAGACAGAAATAAAAGACTATTTCTAAATCCCAGTCCCCAAACTACCCAGGCCTCAGCATTTGGGTAGAGCATTGATTGCATTTTAGCAATATGGAGTTATGGTAGATACAGTAGATAGGTAGAAACTGTGGTCACACAGTGCTTTCTTTTATACCAGTGTTGATCTAGAGTAACCCCACTTCCTTTGGGTTAAATGAGATGTAAATGAGAGCTGAATTGGGCTAAAAAATTAGACAGGATTAGATTTGTTTTTATAAATGAATATACTAGTGAAAAGAAAGAACAAAATCAGTTTAGATGTGTGGCTTTTCATTCTTTGTTTTATCATATGCCACCCAAAGTTATGCTGGGCATTTCACACACATGTAGGATGGGTCCCAAAAAGCTTAAAATTAAAAACAGATTACTTATAGAAAAAGGAATGAGAAACGTGGAACAACACAATCCAAATTCCAGGGCCATAACCAGGGTAGTGCGAGTGGGGCAGCTGCTGAGGGATCAAAGCTGCTGGGGCAGAAAAAATGGGGCAGAAACTGAGGTGACGGGTAAAGCCCCAAGCGAAGGGGCTCAGGGAGGCTCCACCCCCTGATTCACCACAGTGGGCCACCCAGCCTGTCTATAGAACACCAACCTCTTAGCTTTTGTAGGGCAGGAACCACAGGATTCAGGATTATGGGGACCTGGTGGCTCCAACACATTGTTTCGTAGGCTCAGAAGAATGGTAGCCAATCTTCCTGTCCAGGAGCTGAAACAGCTGTTGCAGACAAGCTGCTCTGCATCATGATGATGGAGCTGCTCTGCACCATTGAAGGAGATTTCCTCATCTTCAGAGAGCCCCCAGAAGTTGGGCTCTCCATGAGTGAAGTACATTTCACTCACTGCTGACTATGTTATGAGTGAGTTTTTTGGTAGCAACAAGATATTTATATTATATACATTTCAAAGTAAAACATATTTAAGTTACAAGAATTTGTTTTTAAACATGGTGCAAAGAGTCGGAAGCAGCAAAACAGCTTGTAAGGGTGCAGAAGAATACAGTAGCCAATATAACTGAGTGCCTAAAATTAGGCACGCTAATCTGTATTTAGATTCCTAAACAAAAGTGTCCTGATTTTTAGACAGAGGAGCATCTACGTTCTCACTGCATTCACTACAAGTTGCAGGTGCCTCTGAAAGTTAGAATATTTTTGTTTGAGCGTCTAAATAGAGATATACCGTAGGTTCCTAACATAAACACTCACATTTGAAGATTCTACCCAGTACACACACATGAATGATAAATTTATCTGAATTTTAAAAAGTCAAATACAGAATGTGCTTTTGAAGTTGTTTTACTTGCTTTTTGGTCCGTTTGACTAATTATTCTGTCACAGGGATACTGGATCTCTAAGAGGCAATGAGCCTGTCCACCTATGACAAGCTTCACTTGCCTCCCCAGGTGGGAAAATGACTTGTCACATGACCTGAAAGGTATGTTACTGACTAAGGTCAGATACAGGGATATAAGGGAGAGGCCTGAGGGAGAGTGAGGAGTTACTGCAGCCAGGGTGAGCTATGGGACAGGGAGGCCAGGACAATGATATTGAGTAAACTAGATCCTGGGAGAAGGGGAATATTTTGGTAAAGACCTTGGCTATGACTGAACTACTATGGGGGAACTCAGAGGGAAATTGAGGCAGGACAGCTCAGAGCCCCCCCTGGACACAAAGAGGGCATATGGGAGATGACTGAGCCTGTTATACATTCTTACTTTTTGGTCGATTTTACTGCTTTAGGGTATACTGCCCCAGGCACACAGCATGCTCTGGATAATCTATGTACAATATGTTTACAGCTTTGAGAATATGATGGAGGAGTGGAGAAATTGCTCACTAATATTTGTACTTTAATCAAAAGTTTTGCATGTCTAGGTAAAGAGTAAGTATATTTCTATCTGAAATGTATGTACTAAGTTTCAATACTTCTCTAGCAAGATTGATAAATGTTGGAGTATATGCATCCATGTTGTTACTTCATTGACCCGTCAGTGGAATGAATTTGACCCCTTCATATTTTAAATTAATATATTTAAATTCCAAGCACAGCTTTCTGAAAGAAAGACTAAAACTTTGAACAGCAAAATCTTCACTGAAAATTCTTCTAAGCTTAAAAATCCACTACATGTCACAATCTAAGCTTTAAAAAACTCTGGGATTTTCTTTGACTCACTATAAAAGTTTAAGTATAAGCTACTCTTCAAAACTTGTAGTACTTTAGTCTTCTTAAAAAGAAGAGTTCAACTATTTTTCAGCTTAATGACTGAAACATTTTATTTGTTAGTTTCCTGAAAATCCCACCTTATCCATGGTATAAAAACTAAAGAGTTCATGGGATTTTGAAGATTTCTAACACAGAAAAAAATCTTTCATGCTCTTGTGCAATTTATAAGCGCTAGCAAAAAAAAATACATCATAAGATTCATTTATAATTCTAACCTTGTTACAAACTGCAGGAAAAATCTTCCTTCAAGGGTTTGATTAGATTCAGCACTCCACATAAGTCTGGCAAAACTCTTCACTTTCACAGGCTCATCATCTCATTTAGCTAGTAGAAAAAGAAAAGGATCAAATATCCCTTGCTATACTTCTGCTCTTGTTGTTTATCTTATTAATCAGAAGCTTATCATATGGAAATGGTCATTCAGCAATGCAAGGCTTGTTCTTCTATTTTAATTTTTATTATTGTGTAGTTCTCTTTCTGCATTTCTTTAACCCATCTATCACTAAAAGAAAAAAATCAGTTCTCAGATCCTCCATGTGGATCTCCATTGTTTTACAGCTCTTCCTATGTGCCATTGTTTTGCACTGAGCCATACTGTCATGCTGTGCTGGGCCACACTGGAGGAGTAATTGTTACCATTCATTTGTAGTATGGTAGAACTGGGAGGCCCTATTATGCTAGGCACTGTAGAAATACATAGTGAGAGACAGTCCCTGCCTTGAAGAGCTTGTATCCTAAACATATAACACAAAGAGGAAAGGGAAAGGAAGCATTATTATCCCCATTTTACTGATGAAAAAAACAAAAGGTTGTTGACTTACATAGGAAGTCGAGGGCAGATCCAGAAATTGAACTGGGTTCTTTTCTTTTCTTTTCTTTTCTTTTCTTTTCTTTTCTTTTCTTTTCTTTTCTTTTCTTTTTGAATCCCAGATCTATGTCTTTAGCCACAAGATCTTTCCTGCCTAGAGTATGGAAGCTTACAGTCA